CTCCCCTCAGGCCGTGCTCGCCGTCCCGCTTGCTCCCCGAGGGGAAGCCGAGGCCGGCGCTGCGCTCCCTTCCTTGCGCGGCTCTGGCCCTAGCCCCGCTCTGCCTCGCTCTAGCCGCCGGGGTCGGTTCCGGGGCTCACCTCAACCTGCGAGGGCTGTGCCGCACGCTGCCCCGGAGCTCCCCGCGGAGAAGGCGAGCCGTGGCGGCAGGAACCGTCCGGAGCGGAGAGCGGCGGAGCGCGGCCGGCCGTGAGCGGGGCCCGAGCGTCTCGGAGCGGCGAGCTGTCCTGCTGCTCGCTTTTTGTTTTCCATAGTAGACCTTCTGGTTTGTGAAATTCAAAATATCTGAGTAATAAATTTCAGTAGCTGCAGCTGACTGAAATCACAGGAGAAAGTTGTAGCAAGCAGCAGCTGCAGAGGTGCCTACCCGAGAGGCTCGGAAGAGCGATACTTGGTGAAATCCTCGCATCGAGAGAAAGGTCTTTTGCCTTAGCCTGTTTGAAAAAAACAGAAGCAGTTATACCTGTTTATTTTTCTAAATGCTGAAAGATAAAATCTATTTATTATAGAAATAAGAATAAAATTAAAAATAAAAAGAGACCAACCAAATTATCTTGCACGTATGATGTCAGGGATTTTTCATACTTTTTTTCCATGCTCTTCTGCAAAGTTTAGATTTTTTCAGTAGTTACTCTTCATTTAGCAAGGTGCTGTGATGAAACAGAATATTTGACTCAGGTCCAGACATAAAAAAAGTTAATAAAATTCCTTTCACGGCAGCAGAAAAATTGTTTTTAACTTGTCTTGAACAACAAAAATACAAATGTCGTATCCCATACATGAACATCTAAATGCTAACTTTCTATTATTTAAACAGCGGGAACAGAGTGCGTTGAATACTAGGCTTTTTATTATGTAGAGATTAAATGCAAAACAGGCATTAGCAGTCATTGCCTGCAGAATCTTACACATCAAGAAATGCAAAAATCAAAGCCACAGCAGCATCATTAACTTGCCTAAGTCACACTATACATTTATGTATGTTCCAGTATATTACACAATTTTAAATTTTACAGTGTAAACACATCTACGTAGGGCTGTATTTATGTATACACATAGAACAATACTAGAAGTGAAAAGGATACTTGCTGGAGAGAAATCTGCAACAAATAGTTTTAATAGTTCTAGTGTGTATTTCTTACGTGGACAGGACCAAATTAATGTTGCTGCTACAAGCAAAAGAGCCTTACAGGTTTTCTGGCTACTTTTTTGCAAGTATCATGCCTTTTTCAGTCAATCTGAAACATGGTTGCCTGGTAAGCATAATGACAATGCACTTGAAGAATTTAATTGTGCTATAACATCATGATGCTATATCTCACAAATTATTTTTTCAGTACATGTACAGTAAGTCAAATCTGCTAGTAAAAAATACACACAAAAATACTAATGCATTCCAGCTGTGACCACCTCACCAAGTATTTACAGTGTTTCAGTGCTGTGCAACTCAAATAAATGTATTTCATACATAGAAAACTTGATTACAAATGTACCGTAGTATTTTATTC